CCCCCCCCCCCCCCCCCAAATCGTACTCTTTTTCCCTTACCTAGATTTTTGTCCCAATTAGGTTTTCTTGGGGAGGTTTTTAACGAGGCGATGAAGGGGACGTCTCGAAGTTTAAGTATAATTCATCACCCCGCCTGCCGGTTATCTCTCTAGGCCAAACGATGAAGGTACTAGACAAGAAAACTTCTCCAATATATGTATGAAATGAACATGTATAGTATTCTCCAATGAATGAAGTAAAGCAACATTTTGTTCTCTCCACGAAGACATTCTCCAATGAGTGAAATAAAGCAACATTTTATTCTCCATCGTTTTTTGAACATCGACCTCGCTCGAATTACATAACATCCGACCTCGCTCGAATTACATAACATTCGGCCTCGCTCGAATTACATAACATTCGGCCTCGCTCGAATTACATAACATTCGACCTCGCTCCAATTACATAACATTTGACCTCGCTCGAATTACTTAACATTCGACCTCGCTCGAATTACTTAACATTCGATCTCATTCGAATTACTTAACATTCGACCTCGCTCGAATCATTTAAATATTCGACATCGCCCAAATTACTTTATAAATCCTTGCTCGAGTTACTAAGATCTACGATCGACTACGTGATCGATGCCGACTCAACACTACACTAAGGTAGGAAGAGCGGGTCGCAACAGCTTTTACCCGAATAGTGGTTCGGGATCGAATTTCCACAGGGAGCTATTAATGGAGTTGCAATGTCTGTTTAGTCTAGAATTGTGGTTGTGCTTCTAATATCACTTCAAACATCTTTGGTTTTGATTTTTATATCTACTATTATAAGACTAATGTTTAGAACTAAATTATGCTATGGGAATATTGCTAAGTTGTAATTAATATAAAGAAAGGCACTAGGGTCGTGGCATTGCCTAGGTGGATAATTAACGGGTAGATGCTACTAAGGATAGATTGACATGTTTGGGGCTTATGCTATAACCGTTGCACAATTGTACCCACTCTCACACCTCTCGGTAGAGAGAGTGATTTTGCCCAATTGACTCTCTCGAGACCAATTGGGTAGGCCAATTAGACCAAGCAACTAGGGTTCAAGTAGGGTGATTACTCTCTCGAGGTTTAACCCGTTAATTAGGACTACCATTTCTCATGGGTCCATCCCAATTCCTTGTTGGGTCAATTTTGGGGTCATAGACTCTCTTTCTCAAGAAGAGTTAAACCTACCAAGCTAGAATCAGTGATTGCAACCATCAATCCTTAATTAAAACCTAAAATTAACCCAAATAGCAAACATCCAATATCAATCTAACCTTAGATGGCAACACATATCAATTAACCACACTAGGGTTGAGCCACAACCCTAGCTAGTGAGTTTAGCTACTCATGCTAGATGCAAAAATTAAAGAAATAGATGAAGAAGTAAACATATTAATTAATTGCTAAGAAGGAAATACAATATTAAAGGTCAAAAGTGCCAAAAATGGCTAAACTAGTCGTTCTCACGAGCTCAGCAGCTTCAGAAAAACAAAACTTAACCTAAAAATGGAAAAAGGTTCTATTTATACAGGGCTGGAAAAATTGGACAAAAATACCCCTGTGGGGTCACCGCGGACCGCGCAAACATGACCGCGGCCGCACTGGCTCTTGAACTCTTGGCTTCTGCTTCTCTGAAGTTGAGGACCGCGGACCGCGTAAAAATGTAGCACGGCCGCGGTGGAAGTTAGCGCGGTCGCACAGAAGTGGACGCGGACTGCTTTGCTTGGAAGTGGTCAAATATTTGGCTCTCTGAATCTCTACTCCGCGGACCGCGTAAAAGTGTAGCGCGGCCGCGGAGCCTGACTGCGGACCGCATGGAAATGACCGCGGCCGCGTAGCCTTCCCTTCAACTCTGCCATTCTCTGAACCTCCTAGTGCGGCCGCATTCACAGTTGCGCGGTCCGCACTAAGGCCTCTTTTCCTCAACTTCCTTGGTCTTTTACACTTGAGCTGGTTTCACTCCTTTCTGAGCCGATATTT